CTCGCCTGCCGGGTTACGGCCGGGGCCGGCCGAGCCCAGCATCCCCGGCCTGCTGGCAGCTCCCGCCCCGGAGGCCGAGGAGGGCCAGAAGGCCGCCCTGCAGTCCAAGAAGGGCAAATGCCGTGGAGTGCGCAGGATGGTGGTGAAGATGGCTAAGATCCCTGTCTCCTTGGGGAGGAGGAACAAGACCACCTACAAGGTCTCCTCCCTCACCAGCAACCTGAGTTTGGAGGGCAAGGAGCCGACGGCCCGCACGTCCCTGGAGCCCACCCCGCTGCTGAAGATGAAGAACAACGGCCGCAATGTGGTGGTGGTTTTCCCCCCGGGGGAGATGCCCATCATTCTGAAGCGCAAACGGGGGAGGCCCCCCAAAAACTTGCTGCTGGGGCCAGGCAAGCCCAAGGAGCCCACCCCCGAGGTGAAGAAGAGGCGGAGGAGGAAGCAGAAGCTGGCCTCGCCCCAGCCCTCCTACATCGCAGACACCAACGACAGCAAGGCTGACTACTCGGACGTGCTGGCCAAACTGGCCTTCCTGAACCGGCAGAGCCAGTGCTCGGGGCGCTGCTCCCCTCCACGCTGCTGGACCCCCAGCGAGCCCGAGTCCATCCACCAGGCCCCCGACACCCAAAGCATCTCCCACTTCCTGCACCGGGTGCAGGGCAAGGCGGGGGCCTTTGGTGGCCGGGGAGGAGGCCATGGCGCCCGCTCGTCCCGCTGTTCCTTCAGCGACTTCTTCGAGGGCATTGGGAAGAAGAAGAAGGGCCCGGCAGCCATGCACGCCGATCCCGTCCACCCGCGCAAGAGGGGCCGGCCGGAGCCGGACCCCGGAGGCAAGCCCAAGCGAAAGAGGCGCACTCGCAAGAACGGGGTGCTCTTCCCCGAGCAGAACCCCGGCCAGAACTTCAGCGACGGCGCCTCAGAGTGGGCTGGGGACAAGGGGAGTCCGTGGGCGCCTCACCACGGCCACATCTCCAGCCAGGCTAGCAGGAACTGCAGCTACCAAGGGGCAGAGTCCAGGGCGTTCCTCTCCTCCGCGCTGGAGTCCAGCTCTTCCAGCCGGGCCAGCTTCTTTACTGGGAACAACCCATCCTCCCAGACTGAGGTCAACCAGGAGAGGCACAACCTCTTCACTGGCTACTTCCGCTCCTTGCTGGATTCGGACGACTCCTCGGACCTGCTGGACTTCGCCCTGTCAGCTTCACGGTCCGAGTCACGGAAGTCCTCAGCCACCTACACGGCCCCGCCCAGCGCCCTGCCCAGCCAGCGGGGCCTGGCCTCCTACCAAGGCAGGAGCACCAAAGTCACGCCGGCTGCCACCACTGAGGCACAATTCCACACGGTCATGCCGAGCCGGCAGTCCTTCTCCCACAGCCGGGCAGCCGGCTACGGGGTCTCCCAGGCCGCCTCCGAGTGCCGCGGGGCTGATGCTTTCCAGAACCAG